ATGGCGCTCACACAGACGCTGCCGAGTCTTCGGGGTCTAGGCATGCGATTGGAGACGGCAGCAGCGTACTTCTGGCGCGGATTGGACGGCACTCCGTGCTTGGACAGCTGCGGCATCTTCGTTCTCAACAGGCCTGGCGAGTACACCCTGTGCTGGCCGCTGAGCGCCGTGCACGACAGAGACGAGACGGGGTTGCTCTTCGCACGCAAGTCGGTGATCGGTGAGATCGGGTACCGTAACAGAAGCAAGGCAGAGGCCCCCGCAGCAGCGGGGGCCGCCACCAGCCCATCATCGCAGCCGACGTACTGGCACCACAGCCAGAACGGAGGCCCTGGGATGCCTTACTCTTGCTACTACCCGAAAAAAGACGCCCGCGAGCACCTCCAGGATTTACTGACTCAGTCAGAGGAATGCCAACGCAAGATCCAAGAGAAGGAGAGTGAGAAACTGAGGCGCGCCGAGGCTGAGGCTAGAGGGGACCACCGCTTCTCTAGTAATCGCGAGGTGACCCTCTTCCGCGCGTTGCAGAAGACGTTCCCGCCAGAGACCGTGGAGGTGGAGGGGCGCTGGCACGGCGGCGCCCACTACCCTCTCCTGTTCCAAATGCGCATGGCCAGCGTGCGTTCGCCGGGGAGGAAGCAGGAGAGAGCCAAAGAGAAGAAAGACAGGCGCGCCCAGAAACAGCTGGCAGCTGCGCTCAGGGCGCCGCTGCCGCCCGATCAGCACGGACCCGAGCGCCGGGCACCAGAGCAGCACAGCGAGAGGGACGAGCAAGACGAGCGCGCCCAACAGGCGTGGCGCCCACCAAGATGGGCAGACGAAAGCGCGGACGACGGCCGCGACATGCCCGCGGCTGGCGATGGAAGGTCGCGGCGGGGGGTTGAAAGGGGGAGGGGGGGAGAGGGGCGGTGGGGCACGGAGGGGGCAGGAGGGAGGAGAGGGAATAGGAATAGGCTGAGCAGGACGAGGGATGACATAAGGAAATGAGTGTCGGGAAGGGGCGGGAGTTGACAGGGAGGGGATATAGAAATAATTATTTATCACTCCCCAGGTGGCAGCCGACCCCGCAGTGCCCATCTCCAGGGCCTGCGCCGCTGGAGCAGCGAGGGCAGCGCGGCGCCGCCATCTACATCTCGGACGCGATCGCTGCCCTCGGCCACGAGCCGCCAGAGCCCCCGCAGCAGCGGAGGCCACAAACGCCACGGCAGCAACCAACAGACGAGGAGTGGCGCAGGGATGAGTGGTGGCGCACCAAGGAGGGCGAGGAGCGCGAGTGGCAACAGCCGAGCGGCGAGGCTTCCTCGCTGCAGGACCGCATGGTCGACTCCGCCTGGCGCGACATGCAAGTTGCATTCGGCAGCGACCAACGCCCCAGTGACTGGTGGAGCAGCCACAGTGGGTGGAGTAGCGGCCAGGGGCACTGGGAGGTCGCGACCACGACTTGGAGGTGGGTCGAACCCCCCCCCGAAACCAATCCCTGGGAAAAGCTTAGTTGAACCGTCGCACAGGAGCCGCCCCTCCGCAGCAGCGGAGGGAGGCCTCATCGGCCGGCATCGTGAGCGGCGGCGACTCGCGCGCGCCGTCGTGCTCGGCGACCGCTGCCCGAGCGGAGAAGGAAAAAGAAACGGTGCTTTCATCGGTGCTGTCGTTGCCTCCTCTCCTTCATCGTTTTCTTCTCCCTCCCCCTCCAATCCCCCATCCCGCTATCACATTTTATCGTCTCCAATCGTATCGGGAGCTCCCGTGGCAGAAGAGCACCCAGAACGAGGTCCTCCGTGACAGAGGGGGGGGCATCTCAGACCCCCTCTGTGACAGAGGGGGGGCATCTCAGACCCCCTCTGTGACAGAGGGGGGGCCAAAAAACAAATGATCACTTTAATGCGGCTTCTGGATTACGGTGAATCACCGCCGCCCCCTGCCTTTTGGGAAGCGCCTATGTGGCCGAACGTTGAGGCCAGACTTGCCAAGCTATCGGACCATGTGTTCCCCGAATCGGTTTGGAAAGCCTTCGGGGAACACGTGGGCATCTGGAAGGTCATTTTGGCCGCCTGGAGGCCATTTTGGCCATTTCGGGCCTTCTCGGAGGACGTCTTGGAGGGCTCTTGGGCCGTCTTGGAGGCCATCTTGAGCGTCTTGGAGGCCTCTTGTGCCGTCTTGGGGGCCGCTTGGGGCCGTCTTGGGCTCTTGGGCGATCTTTTGGGGGCACTTGGGCCGTCTCGGGCCGTCGGTAGCAGACAAAAAGCAACTGCCACAAACCGGCAAAAACCGATGGGAAATCAATGATATTGGCCTTTTCGGGCCTTCCTGGGGGCCCTCTTGGAGGCATCTTTGGCTGTATTGGGCCATCTTCGTTCCATCTTCGGCCGTCTGGGTGGGCCCCTGGCCCGTCCGACGCCGTCGGACGCCGTTTTCGGGGCCTCTCTGAGCCGACTTGGGGCACTCTTGGAATGCTCCAGGGCCGTCTTGGAGGCCATCGTGGGCGTCTTAAGTGCCTCTTGGGCCGTCTTGGGGTCCTCTTGGGGCCATCTTGGAGGCATCTTGGGCAATCTTTGAGAGCCTCTTGGGCCGTCTTGGGTCGTCGGAAGGCCGAAAAGGAACAGATGTCAAAATCCTTCAAACACCTAAAGGAGAAGACATGTTCTTGGCCTGTTCTGGCCTTCCTGGAGGCCTCTTGGGCCGTCTTGGGCCAGCTTCGAGCCAACTTCTGCCATCTTGGTGGGCTCCTGGCCCGTCTGACACCGTCGGAAGCCGTTTGGGTGGCCTCTCTGGGCCGACTGTGGGCCCTCTTGGGGTGCTCCAGGGCCGTCTTAGAGTCCATCTTGGGCGTCTTGGAGGCCTCTTGGGTCGTCTTTGTGCCCTCTTGGGGCCGTCTTGAGGGCCTCTTGGGCAGTCCTGATGCCATCTTGGAGGCCTCTTGGGCGCTGTGCGGGCGATCTCGGGGGCCTCTTGTGCCGTCTTGGGTCGTCGGGAAGCCGAGAAGAAGCGAATGCCAATATCCGTCAAACACCTAAGGGAAATCAATGATGTTGGCCTCTTCGGGCCCTCCCAGAGGACCTCTTGGAGGCCTCTTGGGCCGTCTTGGAGGCCTCTGGGGGGCCTTTTGGGCCGTCTTGGGCTGTCTTGGACTCTCTTGGGTCGTCTTGGAGGCAGTCTTGGACCATCTTGGGCGGACTTGGAGGCCATCTTAGAGGCCATCTTGGGCCAACGTGACCATCTTGGAGGCCATCTTGAAGCGTCTTGGAGGATTTGTTGTGGATGTTGAGCTCGTTTGCAGGCTTTCCGCAGGGCCGGCGGGACGGGCCGAAGCGCCAGGGGGAGTTTTTGGGGAAAAAGAGCCAAAACCAAAACCGAGAGAATTCAGCACGCCAGGCACCCCTGCGATGAATCGACAGGGGGCTGCGAATCGAAGACGCCTACGGTGAATCACCGCCGCCCCCTGCCTTTTGGGAAGCGCCTATGTGGCCGAACGTTGAGGCCAGACCTGCCAAGCTATCGGACCATGTGTTCCCCGAATCGGTTTGGAAAGCCTTCGGGGAACACGTGGGCATCTGGAAGGTCATTTTGGCCGCCTGGAGGCCATTTTGGCCCTTTCGGGCCTTCTCGGAGGACGTCTTGGAGGGCTCTTGGGCCGTCTTGGAGGCCATCTTGAGCGTCTTGGAGGCCTCTTGTGCCGTTCTTGGGGGCCGCTTGGGGCCGTCTTGGGCTCTTGGGCGATCTTTTGGGGGCACTTGGGCCGTCTCGGGCCGTCGGTAGCAGACAAAAAGCAAATGCCACAAACCAGCAAAAACTCACGGAAACTCAATATTGTGCGCCTTTTCGGGCCTTCCTGGAGGCCCTCTTGGAGGCCTCTTGGGCCGTCTTGGGCCATCTTAGGGCCATCTACGGCCGTCTTCGGTGCAGCTTGGGCCGTCTTAGAGGCATCTTGGAGCCATCTTAGCCGTCTTGGAGACCTACTTGGCCGTGTTCGATACATCTTGGAGGACATCTTGGGTCATCTTGGCCGTCGTCGAGGCCATCGAGGGCGTCTTGGAGGCTTCTTGGGCCGTTTTGGGGCCCTCTGGGTGCGGGCGTTTGGGCTCTCATGGGGCCATCTTGGAGGCCTCTTGGGCGATCTTGGGGCAACCACGGGGGCTTCTTGGGCCGTCCTGGGCTGTCGGAAGGCCGAACATGTGCAAATGCCTAAATCCATCAAAAACCTCAGGTTTGGTCTCTTCGGCCCTTCCTAGAGAACCTCTTGGAGGCCTCTTTGGTCCGTCTTGGAGGCCTCATGGGGGCCTCTTGGGCTCATCTAAGGCCGTCTTGGGCGCATCTTGGGCCGTCTTGGAGGCATTGTGGGGCCATCTTAGCTGTCTTGGAGGCCATTTTGGCCGTCTTGGAGGCATCTTGGAGGCCATATTGGGCCATCTTGGACGTCTTGGAGGCCATCTTGGACGTCTTGGAGCCCTCGTGGACCGTCTTGGAGCCCTTTTGGGCCCTCTTGGGGGCCTCTTGGGCCGTTCATGGGGCCATCTTGGAGGCCTCTTGGGCGATCTTGGGGGCCTCTTGGGCCGTCTGGGGCCGTCGGAAAGCCGGAAAGGCGGAAATGCAAAAATCTATAAAATCTTAAAGATTTGGGCCTCTTCGGGCCCTCCCAGAGGACCTCTTGGAGGGCTCTTGGGCCGTCTTGGAGGCCTCTGGGGGGCCTCTTGGGCCGTCTCGGGCCAGCTCGAGGCCATTTTAGGCCGTCTTGGGCATCTTGGGTCGTCTTGGAGGCATCCTGGGGCCAATTCGCCCGTCTTGGAGGCCATCTTGGCCGTCTTGGAAGCATTTTGGAAGCCATCTTGGAGCCGTCCGGGACAGGAAAACCCACGGCAACCACCTCCGGAAGAGCCTCCCGGGACCCCGGCGGGACGCGCCGAAGGCCCAGGGGGTAATTCGTTTCCTATGTTGTTCGTCTCTGGTTCGCCGTGCACTTCCCATCTCTGTAGCTCTTTTTCTGGTTCAGGCTGGGCCCAGAGTGGATGGCCTGGCTGACCAGCGTGCTTCAGAGCGCCCCTTCCGTCACCAGCTCGGTCGTGGCGGGCGCCATTGGCGGGCTGGCCGCGGGCGGGCGCTGCGACTGCCACTGCGAGTGGTCAGCGGCCCCTGACCAGGGCCTCCTCCAGCTGCTGCAGCGGCAGCTGGATCGCTGCGGCCCCGAGCAGCTCCACGGGCAGGTCTGCCCTGCTCTGCCGCCACCGCTGGTGGCCACCCTGGCGCTCGTCGGAGTGGGCCTCTTCACGGGCGTGCTCTTCGGCGCGTGCCTGGTGATCGGCTCACGGCATGCAGGATGGCTGGCGCCAAGGCGAGCCGCGGCCGGAGTGGTTCCCACAGCTCCAGCGGGGGTCTCGAGTCCTGGCGCGGTACGAGGGGTACCCACTATGGCACGAACGGCTGCTGGTCGCCCGCTTGGCGCCATCACGGTGGGTGGTGGCGACGCCTAGCGGCGACATCTACGATGAGGACCTCATGGAGAGCGACGGGGTGCATCGAGTTGGGCCGCGGGGGGGCCTCGGCGCCGGCATGGCGAACGCTGAGGTGCTCAGGTTCGTCAACCTCACGGCGCCGGAGAAGCGAGAGCTGCTGGAGGGCGGCGAGGACTACGTCCGGGACAACGAGGGCGACCCCGACATCGACGCCGAGTCGCGCCAGGTCCTTGTGGCGCAGCACGTGCTTCCTCCTCGCGGCGGTGCTGGCCCTGGTGCTGCCCCCGCCCCCGGAGATGCGGGCGTGCCCGCAGCGGCCCTCCCAGGGGCCGCCGCCGGCGTGGCCTGGGTGGCCGCCGAGTCCCGCCGCGGCTTCACCCTCGGCGATGCGGTCGACCTCTCCGCAGGCCGGCTGCTCGCCCCCGGCGACGGCGGTGTGTTCGCGGTGCCCAGTGCTGGGCCCCTCTGCGTGGCCCTGGCCGGGTCGCTCGAGCTCCCCAGGTGTTGGCGAGCGGGACCTGCGCAGCCTCCCCGTGCGCTTCGACAGGAACAACCGCCGCTTCAGGGAGTATTGCGACGCGGCGGTCTGCCTCTTGGAGACGGCGCGGGCTGGCTGGTCAGTGGCCTGGCCTCGCACTTGCAAGTGGCTCCTCCGGGCGATCCGCGACGCGGGCTGGACGCCCGCGCAGCGCCACTTCTGGTGGCGCAACCTGCCGCAGGTCTCGCCGAGCGACGCCGGGGCGGAGGAGCGCGCCTACATCTCCGAGGTGCTGGAGAGGGCCTGCGTCTTCGACCAGCTCAACTGCTCCGAGCTGGAGACATTCGAGGTCCTCTGGAGGCGCTACCAGCTCTGGGAGGAGCTGCGCGCACCCGAGCTCCACCGGGCGGCCGAAGCGGGCGAGGAGGGCGACGGTTCCTGGCTCCGCGAGCGCCGCGTCTTCCTGGGGAGCTCGCAGAGCAAGGGCGCGGCGCTGGTCTGCCCGGCGCTCGAGGAGCACGCGGCGGGCAAGCTCGCCCAGGAGAGCGCCATCCTCAATGGGGAGAAACGGCTCGCGAAGGGGGCCGCGGCAGGCAGCCGAGCCCAGCGGCAGCCGGGCGAGGCCCGCGGCGGCGGCGCGCGCGCGAAGACGCGCGGCCGCGGCCGGCGAGGCCGCTCCTGAAGTTCACCTTGCCGGCGCGCCTCTCAGGGGGCGCCGGCGCTTTTGCGCCCGCAGCTAGAGGTGGTCGGCTACGGCATGGCGCGTGGCCCTCAGCGCCCTGACGACCGCCCTCGCGATCTGCTGCCCTTCCCGGGCGGGCAGGCCATCGACGAGCTGCTCCTCGGCGCGACGGGCGGCGGGCTCTCCGCCGCGGGCAAGCGGAAAGCCAGGCGGCGCCGGGGCGAGGGGGCGTGGCTCTGTGCAGGCCTGGACGCGGTGAGCGAACTGGGAGGCAGCGGCAGGGCGTCCAGCGATGCCCAGGTGACCGCCGCCCAGGCTTCTGGAGCTCGACGGCGGGCGCGGACTTCTACCGGCTGACGTTGACCCCCTGGGGGCATGGAAGGTGCTCCAAGGTGTCGGCGGCGGCTGCGTCGACTCGAGTGCGGCCGACAGTTTTGACGCAACCTACCATCCTGGCAGGACCTCCTTGCCGCAGTCGCGTGCTGGGGCTGCGCCGCTGCGCGACGTGGCCCCGGGCGACATGCAGTGAGCGGCGGCGAAGGGCAGCGGCCTTCTCTGCGACCCCGCGGAGGCGCAGGCGGCGCTGCACGCGCTCGGGCCCGCCATGGCCTTGGGCCCCGTGCTGAGGCTGAGGGGCTTCACGTGCGGGCGCTTCCTGGCGGAGCTCCTGGACATGGGCATCCTGGAGAAGGCCACCGTCGTCAAGGAGACCGCGGGGGCCTTCCTCGTCAAGCGCAAGGATGGCTTGCTGAGGCTGATCTTCGACGCTTGACGGAGCAACTGCCACTTTGCTCCTCCTCCGTGCACTTCGCTAGCCAGCGGTGACTCTTGGTGGCCTCTGCCGATATCGAGGTCTGCTTCTACCAGTGCGAGCTGCCCGCCAGCCTGCGGCCGCTGTTCGTGGCCCCGCCGATTTTGGCGCGCTGCCAGCCTGCCAGGCGGCGCAAGAGGCTGGAGCTCGCGGACGTCGAGCGCGCCTTCCAGGCGCGCGTCGTGCCGATGGGCTGGGGGGCGCTCTCCAAGACAGGCCTCGGGGGCTCCTCCGCGGCCGTGGGCCTTCCCGAGCACCAGTGGGTCGGCCGCGCTCTCCTCGAGCTGAAGGAGCGCTGAGCCCCGCTGCAACGCCTGTTCCCGATCTCGCACGGCGAACTATCGGCGGAGATGAAGAGGGCCGCGGTGGCCGCGGGGCTGCGAGGCACTGCGTCCAACGCCCCGCGGGCCTTGTCACGGTGGAGCCAGTCGCGACAAGGCGCCAGGACGGAGGTCTCTGGGCGACATCCAGCTGCGGGGCAAGTGGAGGTCGCCTCTCAGCGTCAATCGCTGCGAGAAGCATGCCAGGATCAGCGAGCAGCCCGAGAGGCTCGACCCGCCCGTGCTGCTCGACCTCAAGTCCCGCGAGGCGCGCTTGCCAAGTGCCTGCGGAGCGAGCTCCGGGCGGCCCAGAGAAAGGCCCGCCCTCGAGAGGGCAAGGTCTTCCTGGAGGCGTTCGCCGGCGCGGGGCGCTTCGGCCAGGCCCTCCGCGGGCGCGGCGCCGCAGTCATGAGCATCGATGTGCGGCGCGGGCCGCATCGCGACCTCCGGGCCCCAGGGTGTAGGAGGTCTTCAACGTCATCAAGGGCTGGATCCTCTCCGGCCTCGCGCGGGGGCTCTGGCTGGGGGCTCCCTGCAGCGCCAGGCGGGCGCCAGCGGGCTCGCGGATGCCGGCGGCCCTGCGGTCGCCCCAGCAGCCCCGCGGCCTCGCGGGGCCCCCGCCGCGGGACTCCGCCAAGCTCGCCGAGGGCGACGCTCTGGCCGACCGCGCGGGGCAGCTGGCCTGCCCGGCGCTGGAGCGCGAGATCTCCGGCGGCGAGGAGGGCCCCGCCCAGTCCCACCTCTGGGCGCTGCGCTCGAGGGCGCGCTTCCTCCTCCAGCCCAACGTGTTCGACGTGGTGGTCGACTACTGCGCCTTCGGTAGAACTTCCGCGACTCTGGCACACCCGTGGCCCTCGACGGTTCTCGGGGCCAAATGCACCGGTCGTGGCGCGTGCAGCGTTTCCCCGCCAGCCCCGCATCCAGCTCGCGGGCAAAGCCCAGGGCGACCCCGCCTTCAGAACTTTGAAAAATGAGTACCCACCGCAGTTGCGTCGTATCCTGGCCGGCATGTACTGCAACTCTCGGAAGACGCGTTGGGCCATCTATCTTTGGTCAAGAATGATACAACCGAAGACAAGTTGCATCGCAACGAAGTGTGGCCCTGGCGGGCCCGTAGCATCTCTTCTGGTTGCAACTTTTTGGAGAAAGTTTTAAAACTGATCGACGGCGCCATAGGGCACCAGCTCAGTGCTGAATGCGGGAAGTATAGTCTTCACCTCGGTTATTTCAGCTGTGCACGGGTTGAGCTTGGCAGCGCGCTTGCTCGGCGACAGAAGCATCGCGTCGCGCATCGGCTTCGGCAAAATCCTGGCGAAAAAAGATTGGCGATACTTCATTTCCTACGTTATTCGTTTCTGTTTCGCCGTGCATCTCCCATCTCTGTAACTTTTTTGGGGCGCCACCCGCACCGCCCTACAAAGGTCTGAGGTGAAGTGCAGGGGTCGAGCTTGGCAGCGCGCCTGCTCGGCGAGAGAAGCGTCGCGTCGCGCATCGGCTTTAGCAAAGTCCCGGCGACCAAAGACTGACGAAGTTCTTTTGGAAAAAGAGCCACAACCAAAACCGAGAGGGTCTAGCGCGCCAGGCACCCCTGCGATGAATCAACAGGGGGCGGCGGATCTCGTGGCCTTCGGCCCATGCCGCCACCGTGCCTGGGCTGTGGGTATGAAGCCGACTGGATGTTCGTTGGGATCTCGTGGGGGGTTTCCCAAAGGCCTCGTGGAGGCATTTCTGATGATCCAGAGTGTTCTTGAGTGTAGTAGACTTACTCCGGCCGCGCGCAGAGGGGGGTGGGGGACGGGGAGGGTGGGAAGCTTCTCAGAAGCACTCTGCATCTAAGAGGCGTTCCCCCCGCCCCCTGACCCCTTGTGCGCGCCGCCGAGTATTGAAACACTTCGTGTTCGTTGTTGGGAGGAAAGGGGGTAAGAGGGAGAGTCGGAAGGGCGGATTCGGGGCGTTGTGTTTTCAAAACGAGGACCCGACACCACAGGATGGTTGGGATTAAAATGCACCTTTGGGCCGCCAGGCCCCAGGCGTTGCGACCCCTTTCCACGGGGGTGGCCTCTCAGCCGGAGTGGTGTGTGTGTGCGTGTGTTGTGTATGTCCGCCGCGCGGCCGTCCTGCCGCGCTGTGCAGGCTGGCGGCCGGGCTGCGCGCCGCTGGCCGCGATTGCCGCCGCCTGCCGCCTGTCCCCGCTTCCTTGTCGCTCCCCTCGTCGTCGTCGTCGGTCGTTTCGCCGCTGGGCCCTTTGGATGGTTGAGAAGTGCGTTGACGGTCCTTGGGGGCCAAAGAGCGGCCTCCAGGGACCGAGGATCGCGGAACGCACTTGGCGCACCGGAGGAGGGGCGGGAGGGGAAGAGGGACGCCTTCGCTCGATGCTGGTACAGCAGTGCAGGCGGCCAAGTCTCATTCCTTTTCCCTCGTCCCTTTCTGTCCCTCTGGCCACCTCCTCCTCCTCCTCCTCCTCCTCCTCCCCCTCCTCATCCTCCTTCCCCTCCTCCCCCTCTTCCTCCTCCTCGTCCCCCCTTGTCCCGCCTCGTACTCGACCTCCCGCTCCTCCTTGTGATGTTCCAACCTATTCGAACCTTGACCACCAGAGAGAAGTTCGAGCGCCACGAAAATACATGAACTGACGGTTTTGCACGTGCCGGTCCTTGAGAGGCGATGCTCGTTCCACATGTCGTTTTCTTTCTAAGATGCGGTTTTGATGCGCGATGGGAACAACATAGCACTTCTCGTCCCCTCCCCCCTCCATCCCTCTCTTCCGCTTCCCCCGTCCCCCCCCCCCCCCCCTCAACCCCGCCGCACCCTGCCAGGCGTTCCCTTCGACAGCGCCGCCGAGATGGCGCCCGCGATTGCGTCCGCGGCCCTGCTTTCGCTGGCGGGCATTGGGGGGGAGCAAAGAGCGAAGAGGAGGGAGGGCTGGGGGAGGGGGAGGGGGAAAAGGAGGAGGAGGAGGAGGAGGAGGAGGAAAACGAGGAGGAAGAGGAGGAAAAGGAGGGTCGGCAACCATTTTGGCTCAACGCGTTTTGTCCGAGGCCGCCCGGAGGGAAGGAACGCTCCCCCCGACACGGCCAAGCAGCGCCCAGCGCGGCGCCATACGCCCGCGGAGAAAATATACTTTGCCCACTATTTTTAATTGTATACCCGCCGCACAGCATCTACGACCGTCGGATGTCCACATGTTCCCTGTACTTGCTCATCCATACCGATTTTTCAAATCTCCCCCAGGACTTGTTCATTGACTTCGACTACGGGGCCACCACGTCCTCACTCCAGAGGACTTCGCACGCAACGCCCACGAGGGGCCGACCCCGACGCCCACGGTCGCCTGCCTGGCACCGTTGCCTACGCCGCGAGCGTGCCGACGCTCGAAAGCTCCTCCGCCTTGCCCGAGCACGCCAACTTCTCGCTGACCGCCACAGCGCTCAGCAACCACCTCGACCACCCGACACCACCATGGCGCCCAACATGGCCCAGACCACAGTCGGCAGGTACCGCGGCAAACAGTGGCACCAGCAGCAATGCCAGCACCGACGCCAGCAACACCAAGGGGGCACGACAGGAGCCCCTCGGAACAAACGGCGCGCCCGCAGCCGTGACGACACCCGCGGCGCGGGCAGCAGCAGTTCCATCGGACAACAGCACCAGCAGCAGGCACGAAAGCAACAACCACACTGAATCAACGTGCGTCGCAGACAGGAATAGAGAAGAGAAATTGCTGCCAACATCACTCCCATGACCCTTGCTGGTCCAGGAGGCAGCAGCACTGGAACGAGCCGCCGCCAACGCACCGCTCCCACCGGGCCAAAGAGTACCGCAATAACTGCAAGGCAGACGTTGACTACCTCATCACCGCCACCCAGAGGCACACCAACGACAAGTGCGACTTCAACGGCATCGTCGCCAAGATCCGACACCAGAAGTCCATGTTGTTACCCAACCGACGCGAAGGATCGAAGGCGAGAGGTTGATATCATGATCGATGACACTTTTTTCCCCAGATGGACGACGCGCAGCATCAGCTGGAAGAGTTTCAGCTAAAAGCCGTGCTACTGGGATATCGACGTCGCCAGCTTCGAAGGCTCCACGACAGCATCAGGGGGACCGGCTTGAACGACGACGCCGACGCCGAATTGTCGACGACGCCCAGGAGGCGCACAAAGCAACGACGCTCCGACGCCCAAGCGCCCGACATCGGGAGACGGCACAAAGGGTGCAGGGGAGAAATGTCGCCATCATCGCCACTGACGAAAAGTACATGCGGAGGCTTCCGCCGTCAACAAGCTGCGACAAGAACCCTAAGAAACATGGCAGAACACTGACGTACATCGAAGTCATGTCGCACAGCAAAAAGCCATCATCTACCAGCTCGAGGGAGCGAACGAGTCCCACGACCAGCACGATAAGGAACGACGCGGCAAGCTCCAGCCCTCCGAGCACTACCAGATGGATGAGCACAAAAAGGAGCCCCGCAGCATCAGGAGGGCAAACCGAGAAGATCGCAGAGCACATCGCGCGCAGGACCGAGACAGACAACATCATCACATATAATCTTACGAACGAGCTCCAGGAGGCGAACAATTCCATGCGGCAGTCCGCCGACCGCAAAAGAAAACACCCCAATAACCACAGCAATGCTACGAGACCAACTGAGGAGAGAGCTGCCACCAGCGAGCACCCACAACAAACAAAAGCCTTGGGAGCAGCGCGACCTCCGACGCATTCGCCACGGCAGCCGCGGGTCGCGGATGCGACCATCACGCGCAACAACCTCGAGACGAGCCTGAAAGAGAAAGGTGAAACCATCGAGGATCAGGCTCGCAAGCACATCCAGCGCAACTGCAACCTCTCAGGCCAACGAATCGGCCACCTCGAGAACGCGATCTACGGAGAAAAGCAGATCATGCACGCCGAGGAGCACCAGTGCCACGGCAAGGCCGAAGTCACCACGGCACTGGAAGGGCGGACCGAGGACACGC